TGTTAATGGAAAGATAAAACAGACCCATAAATTTTCCTATTAACTGATGTGTGCTTGAATTATAAACAGCTGCTTTTAGTTCCTACCTGTAAGTAGAGTTGTGTTTTGTTTTTAAAAGATATATCTCCAACTTTGTTTCTGTGTTTATTGTTGGATCAGATTAATTTCAGACAAGGGCTGTGGGCCACTTGTTTCTCTTAGATTCGTCCCTTCAGGAGTATGGTGGGATAAAAGCAGTATTAGAAGACAATCGAAAATGTGCTAACTCATTAAAAATAAATCTTTTTAATAGGTAGTTTTATACTGTGGATTTAAAGGGAATTTCCTTGTCTGGGTAATAGCTGAAATCTAGAAAACATGGTAGGAGTAAGTGGGCAGTCTCAAAATTAAGGAAAATCATATGTAATATTTTACAGTTTTTGATGAGACTTTAGCTTTCTGTATTGAAATGGTTGAAAAGGGGATACAGGAGTGAGATGACAGTTTGCTGACAACACTGAGCTATTCAGAGTAAAAAGAGTTGGTAACAAGGAGTTGTAGGACTTCATGTTTTTAAAAACAGCCAGGCAGTACATAGCACGTGAAGTTCGATGTGAACAAATCTAAACTGATATTGTGCATGTGAATCCTAACTTTACCTGTACAGCTATGCACTTCAAGGTAGCGTTCAACACTCAGCACATGAGGAAAATACCAGCTCAACAGTAGTGAAGAAAGAAAGAAAGAAAAAAAAAAAGAAGCTTTAAATTATTGGGAAAGAAGAAAAAGATATCGTTATGCAGTTGTATGATTATGTTCAGTTACAAAAAGTGCTGGACAGATAAGTGATGACAAATCTATTAACAGCTATTAAACGCAAATATTCTACCACTTGTGTAAGGACATATCTGAGCATGAAATCATTAACAGAGGGAAGAGTATTCTGGGAAGGATTTGCTCTGTGCTTGTATTCTTACAGCGTTTCCTAGCCATCAGCTGTTGGTCATCCCTGGTGGCAGGATAGTCACCTAGGTGGACCTCTCTGTGGTGTGCTGGTGCTGTGTTGCTTCTCGGACTGGAGTCTCAGTTTTTATGGTACACTGAGTCTGTGCCTAGGAAACTGGAGCTCTCAGGCAATGATGGAAGAGGTGTATCTTGGAGGAGCAGCCAACACATTCCACTTTCCATGATGATCCTGCACTGGCTTTTCTCTTTTTCTACCTTAAATCTAAAGAAAATATTGGATATTTTGGGAAAAAATGACTTTAGCCTCTTGACATCTACGCTGTCTGCTCTTTGTAACTCATAGTAAATCCTATGAGTTGCGTAAAGTTGCTGTAGTCATCTGTAATCATTCCAAAAATGTTTGGAAGTTCTTAACTCTGAACCATTGTGTGAGAGTTAAATGTGGCATTTTAATACTTTGCCCAGGCACGGTTTCCTAGCTTTAATCATTCCAGGTACTTACAAAAAATAATTATCTATTATATTTACTCTTAACAAATGTACACACTCTTCCTAAACATTGAAGTGTCCAGGGTATGGGAGACAAGATAGACTATTCGTTGGCCAGACAGTAATCAATCTAGTCATCCAAAAAAATTTGCATTCTTTCGCTGATTGTCTAAATAAGGAAATTTGGGGAGTGCAGTATGGAGAATGCCTCTCATTTCAGCTGTAGAGGAGATCCAGCGTTTGCAGGGCAATGAGATATTCGTGATGTTAACAATCTAACTGATTTTTATCGATAATGACAGATGGTGCTTAGATAATGTGCCCTGAGTTGTCTGTGATACATTCAAAATAAGTCTTCTGGAGGGCTGTACATCTGTCTTGAGATCTTTTGCTAAAATATTTAAATCAAGGTCATTGTTTACATTTGATTTTAAATAGCTTCTAGCATGTAGTCTGCATTTATGTACATTTAGAGATCAAACTGTTTGCAACTTCAAAAGCTACAAATGGAAAAGTATAATAGGTAGCAGGTGTTAGAAAAGGCAATTATGCATTAGCTGTTTTACTCAATTTCCAAAACTGTCTAAAACTATCCATTGGATACTTCGTTGCTGAGACTTATCTCTGAAACATGATGAGTTTTTAAATCTATAGGGAGATATGCATTTTTTCTCTAATGAATTGCATATTTGAACCTATTTGGTTTCATTTAAAAGCGCTGAAGAAAATTGTATTGGGGGAAAAAAAGGTTGAAGAGAAAAATTTCAATAAAAAGTACAAGTTTTTATATAATTCCAGGATTTTTTTCTGTAGTGCCTCAGAAACACTTTCAATTTTCATTACTGCAGTTTTTGGGTTGTTTGCTGTTAATTTTTTAAAGCCACTTATCTTGACTTTCTCTGGAAGAATTCTCTTTGTTATGTTACAGTAGGCTGAATTTTTGGGCTCAGAATCAGAATCCGAGGCTGTCAGAAAAAGTATACGATGATGATCTAATTCGTCTACCTATGCAATTTATTTTTTGTGAGTCTGTATAACAGGAAAGCAAGATTAACAATTTTGTCAACAACTACTGTAAACTTACTTTGAAAGTATCATTTTAATCTCCAGGTAGATTTCTTTAATCCTCCCTTCTTCCCTATGTGTTTCAAGAACCCATACACTGTTGGAAGAGTGGGGAGCAGAAAGCAGACCAAGTGTATATATTAATACCAAAGCAGCTTCCTTCCAGTTCCCTCATTTTTTTGCTCATGTGATGTGATTGAGGAAATACAAACCTTTATTTCCTTCTGCTAGGTTAACAAATAATGCAATACATAAAATATCAGGATAATGAATAAATGAATTTTTCCTGCCTACAGTCTATTCCGTCTCCTACTTCATCTGCAAAAATGGTCTTCCTCTTTCTTCCTCAGCAGTATTCTGTATTTTTCTGTATCTGTCCAGCAGTCTCAGTCTACCTTTATTTGCCTCCATACCATCACCGTGATTTTCCTTCTTCCCTCCTTTCGTGTTTGATGACAAATGATTAGGCTGGTGCCATGCTCTTCAGGTAGCTGTTCTTTCAAGGAGAAATTTTATAATGGATCGTTATTTAGGTTATAAAAGATTATTGTCAAAGACCGATTTAAAAAAAAAACAACACAGCATGGTCTTTAAATTTATTTACAGAATAAAATAGGAAGAGGGTTGTTTTCTTTGGCTTTCTGCATTTTTAGAGTTGTGTTTAAATATTTAAATATTGCCATAATAATATCTGATACTATAAGTGGTAGCACCACTTTTCTTTCAAGTATGTCTTTTTGAGATACAATTTATTCTTTTACATATGTTAACTTTCCATCCCAAGGGAGATGACAACTCTAAATTAAAAGACGTATGTAGGCTTTTCAGAAGGATGGTAGTGAGTACATGATTCTCTAAAACTCTAGTTTTAATATGGTAAATTGGACTGTACTTTGAATTTGCAGATTAAGATAAACCCTAGAGAGTTCTAGTCAAAATTACCATATGCTTTGTGTGTCCTGGGATTTTACATTGTGCGAATTTATTGTGTTATTCAAGCATATCTTTTTCCTAGAATAGGAAAGGTATCACAGGAATGTTCTTCCTTTTCGGGTTCCAAAATGAAATATTTTGAGTTCAAACTGCACTTTTAAACTTAAAACTGCCCTGAAAATAATTGGCGTTATTCCTTTTCTTAACTCTTACCACTTTGGACAGGACGATTTAGTTTCTGTAGCTGCTAACATGATGTTTAGTGTACTACCCTCTGTAGGACACTAAAATAACTGCACTTCTGCCTGTCAGGTGGAGAAGGAAAAGAAGAATATTTTTCTTTGCATTAAGATTACTTCATTGTACTGTTACAAATATTATGTGGAATATTTTAAGTATTGTGTGCTTCTAGGTTAAATGGAAATAAATTTTATATTACCGTGTTCTGTTTTGCATAAGTTGTTTCAGTTCACTTATTTTATTTGAGCAGAACACTGTATTTTTCTAAAAAGTAAATTGCAATTCTGAAATGACCAGCAGAGAATATATAAAAAATGCTATAATTTTATAAGATCTAAGCATAAATCTTTATAAGATCTAAGAATAAATCTTTAAAATATTTAGATATCACTATTTAAATATCCCTATATTTGTCAGAATCTGAGCTTAATTTCATAATAACTATTTTTAAATGCTATTTTAATGAGACTTTACATAGCATTAGTTCCCAATCATCACATTGATAATTAAACATAAATAAATTAGTCTTTTTTTCAGTTCTTAGTGGAAATGAATATAAAGTGTAAGTTAAATGTGGTAGTACAAGAAAACTTGCTCAGTGAATTTTTTTAAAGTAGCACCATAAATTTACCTGAACTCTTTCTCTGGTACTCTTTCTCTCTGTTGTATTTAAGAGATCTTAATTTCAGGGAGAAGAAAGGGCTGGCTATAAAGTGACTGTATCTGCTGACTTGAACTAGAACAGAAAGCTGCAGATCAGAATAGAAATAAGAGTTGTTAAAATTTTGTGTTACAAGGATTATTTTTTTTTCTTTAGTAAAAACATTTAATTCAGTCAAATACAGGCCAAGCTTTAGTTTTAAAAAACTATAGACCATAGTTTTAAAATGCTCTATTAGATCACTACAGTAGAATTTATAATAGGAAAACTTAATTTCAAATGGAGGTATCATGCTCCTAATAATGGAGATGAAGCATATATTCATGCCACAATATGGGTAGTACGGTATTTCAGGACAGATCTAAGCTACTGGATAACATCAGAAATGGGATAAACACATCTGCACAGAATGGATGTAAGTATTTGAAGTAGATTCATACCTCTCCTTAATTCCAGTTACAGAAAATACCTACATACAGATACACCTAGGTTTGTCACAGATGAAATACAAACGTGTTTGTGTTATGAAAAGAGATTTAGCTGACAATTTTTAACACTAGTTTTGATAGTCGTGAACATCATAAAAATATGCTAAGGTTGTATCTTAATCAAAAGCATCATTTGTGTATTAAAATAACTGTTTTTAAATGTGTTTTTTTTTTTGCAGTCTGAACCAGAGGGTTTTTCTCACTTCCACTTGTATGTCTGCGCTGCCTTCCTTGTCAGGTGGAGGAAAGAGATCCTGGAAGAGAAAGACTTTCAGGTAAGTGAAGAGTTCTGTAATATAAAAATCTGGGGATATTTTTAAGCACAGGTCAGAATTTATGAAATTCAGGTTCCTAACATTAAATGGGGATGAATTTACAACAAAGCAGTAGCAGTTGCAACAAGACTGATGGTGTCTGACTGTTAGAGTTCTTCCAAAACTTAAACCTGAAGTGGTGGGCTGTAAACAGTAGATGCTTATTCCTTGTTCATTCTAGAAAAAATAAAAATAAAAATGCTATTTAAACTGAGACGTAGAAGAAATGATTTCTGGAGATGCAGTGATAAGTAAAGCGTGGGTATTTCAAAAAAGAAAATTTCTGAAAAGCTAACTAGATTTTTTTAAAACCTTAAATGCATCACTGTAGTTATGTATTTAAGAGCTCTCATCTCTATAACATTCCAGAATTACTCTAACAAGTTTATGTTCCTTTTTTCAAAAAAATCTAGGCAAGCAGCCTTTTAAGATAAAGAGTCTGTTTTTCAGGCTATAGTTATATTTATTTCAGGTCTTATATTTCAAAGCCTTACATTTGTCCAACTGAGAGCATGTCTGGTAGCTGTTTGGAATCAGATTTGAATAGTGTAGATAGGCAAATAATTTGTGTATCCACATAGAAGTTCAGTTAGTTTTGTGAACTGGTGACAGTTCCCTTTCATAGAATTTTTTTATATTAACTTTTACTCTCTGATGCACATGCAATGCCTAAAAGGCATTAAAGACCTGTTTACAGGCTGTCTGTAAACAAACCATGCTGCAAAGCCTGCACCATTTCCTGCCCCAGGGAAATGGTCTGTTACCAGCTTATTTTCTCTACAGCTGACTGAACTCTCTTGCCCTGTACAAATGAACCATTGTGTGAATCTGTGTATCATTTCAATCTATTTTATCTTTCTTCGTAAAACGATTTATTCAGAGCATTTTAACTGTCATTGCCTATCTTTGCAATAAATAAAACCCTAAGGGCACAACATAACTACTTTAATTTATACTACCTACTAGTGCTGTCAGATTTTCTCAATTTATGGTATTTTGTCAAAACTAACTTCAGTGTTGGTAGCCATACTGCTCAACTATAATTGTTCACTGCTAATACTTCTTATTAATTTGTTCTCCATTGATTTCCTGCATCAAAGTTCATAACATTTTTCTCCTCCCTACCAAATAAGTTACAACTAAGTTTAAAGTGCATAATGATCCCAAGGTAAAGTACTGTGAAGATTTTTCTCCTTATGTATGTTCAGAGTTTTTTATTTATGTAATAATTACAGGTATGTCTTCATGGTTTAATTTCTTTATAGGCTATGTAAACTTGATTATGAAGTTCATAAATTAGGAAGACAGTGGAACACATTTATCAGACTGCCTTAGGTTGCTTACCACATAGAAAAGCAATTAGCAATTTTGAGGATCTATAGGCCAGTGGTAGTTTTATCACTGTTCTATATTATCACTAAAAAGCTTCATCTTCTTTATTGTGTAGCATCAACTTTTAAAATGTTTAAACTAAATTGCTATCAGTTCTACAAATGATACTACTCTCACCCCAGGCAAGAATAAATCCACTGTTCTTCCACTTCGTTAGCAATAGCTGTATTGTAAACCACTGCTTATTCTACAAACATCTAGCTCAAGTAATAGTAGGGGGTTTAAACTATGCTGGCAAATCGGAAAGTTTGGTATATGCTGTTGGACCATTGTCATTGCATTGAAATCACATCACTGAGAAGTCCTAATTATGGCACGTTTTACGCTGAAATTTTGTGGTCTGTAAATTATATTGTGGATCATCAGTATGTGCATCCAATCATTTCTCTTGTACATAGTGTGTGTCGTATTTGTTTTTCTGCATATGACGTAATTGAGGCAAGGCTCTACTAATTGTCAGGCAGAGGGCCTGGTTCTTTAGTGCTAGCTGTGAAAACTCACGCTTTGCTTTTACATATATGTTTGACCTCTTTCCCTAGATGGAAAAAAATGCACAGGGATTTTAAGTCAGAATAATTTCCCCAGAACACTGGATATGTTGATATGCCGGATGAGACAATGAGCAGGTCTTTGATCAAAGACCCATTTTAAACGACTTGATTATGCAGTACTATTTCTTATTATTTGATGAAATATATTATCAGTAATGTTACAGGCAGAATGAGGACAGAAAATAATCATTGCTCTTAAGATACTCATTTCCATTCTTTTAAGTCTGTCTTGCTGCAAACTAAGCAATCAGCATGCGATGTTGATATTTCCTCATAGGAACCAATTAATTAATGCTTATATAGTAAATGTTCAGCTGTGGATGATAATAGTTCCTTATTACAGACAACATTTGAATATCCTATTTTTTGTTTGTTTGTTTGTTTGCTTGTTATTGTTATGTAGTAGAGAATGAAATTTAGCAGTGAAAGGAGTTGGGCTGACTGGACTAATACCATGAAGTGATACAACCTGAAAACTTCTACTTGGTACTTGGTTTACATCTGTACAACAAATCATTATTATAACAAAGGAAGTAAGTTTTTTTTGAAGGAAGTAGATAGAGGAAGAAATAAATGTTGTGGTTCAGGACTCCAAATATTCAAATGATTATGCATATATATATGTATATGGGGTTTATATATAAATAAAAGTGTATATAAATAACGTATGTATAAATTTGTAACAGAAGCATATAAATGTGTGTAGATGCTAGTCTCATATTTTTCATGTTTGAAAGAACAGAATAATGCAAGACCATAATCAAGTAAGTCATGATAGAAGTTGTGTTCATTTTAATCTATTAAAGTTATTATGAGAGCAAGTTACTGTTCTCACTTCTGTCTAGCTGGTTAAGTATAAGATATCAAAGTAGAACTAATTTGAAATGTGAGATTTGCCGGTTAACATTTTTTAGAAACAGGTGAGGAAAATGTGATACTTTTTGTGTAAATGTAGAACAATTCACAAAATTTACAACACAACCTACAAGAGTGAGCCTTTCTTTTGCTCAGCATATCTTAGAGTATGACTTCCTGTTATTCATTTTCCTAACTACAAATGTAATTCCAAAATTCTCCCTAATTCATGGGAGAAATGTGAATGGTTAATATTGTTAAGTGATAAATTATTAAAGCATGATTTTGAGCATGTATAGAATTAAAACATTAAGTTCAACAGCCATATTTTCTATTAATGTTGCATACAGGATATTTGAAGGATTTTTGAAGGATTTGTAAGAAAGCAGGACGCTTAGGACCAGGTTCAGTTATGAAACTTAATATAAGCTAATAGTAATGTTGGACTGATACCGACCTAACTGTTGGATATTGGAGATTTAGTTCAAATTATCAGTTTAAGTAAGCTGTCATTTTGTTGACGCTGCTGATCTATAAAAATGTGTTCAGCATGTTGTTGGAAGCAATCTGTCTTGCAGATTTTTTTTTCTTCATGATGCTAAGATATGGGCTTTTCTATCTAGCAGGCATTTTCACCTATGCTGTCATTAACCCACATCTTTATTACTACAATGTCCTTTTCTTTGGCTTTGACAAATGCATTTTGGCTTCATTTATATTCATGCGGACTGCAAAGAAGCTATAAAGATCATTTTTCAGTCCATCATTTTTCCTTGCTGTTCACCTTCTTTAACTTCCTTTCCTTTATGGCACCAAGGAAAACTAGGGGCTTTCTATTTCGAGGCCGTTAATGGACTAATACTAACACCTTTCGTGTCATCTCATGGTCTGTACTGAGGTGCCGACTGCCACTTTATCAGCCAGTGATGACAGCTGCCTCATCACGTGCTCCTGAGTTCTCATGAAGGTATTTGTGCTGTCTCCCATGTTAACCACATTACCTAAATGGAGCACTTAATGCAGATCTTGTTACTTTTCTCAAAATCCTTGTGTAAGTTCTGTTTTTCTGTGATGCCCAGAACAGATTTGCCAGGTAGGCTATAAGGCTGTTAATAGCACTTACAGTCACATTCACTAGTTTTTTTGTTGCTTTTTTCTATGAATTTCCTGTCTCTTGATACATTCTTGAGTAATGAAATCTTTGGGGTAGTGACTGTTCTTCCTTCTGATTTATATAATCTTTAAAATAACGACTCTTGAATCTGAGTAAATGGTAGTGAGCAGTCTCATTGACCTTGTGAGCAAAATGAATGTGTGCACAATTGTCTGTTTCAGTAAAATGCTGAAAAATGCTTGATGTTTTTCAAATGTTTCCTTGTAGTGAAGTATTACAAGCTAATGTTAGTTGAAATGATGAAAGATGATCTTCCTACCTCATATGATCAATGAGATTTTAAGGAAAACCAGTTAATTATTATTATTACTTATGAAAAAGTTTATGCTTTCCAAAGTTGTGATCATATTTATTCTGCAATTTAATCTCAGTTTTTGCATATATTTTTTTAAATGGGTGCCCATGTCAGAGATTAGTGAAGTATTTCACGGTGTCTGCGTTTGAATGAAAGACATACAGGCTGTCTTCAGCTTACTGATGCAGGAAGTCCTCTCAGCCTCTTCAGTTTGTTTAATCTTTCATTCTCTGTTCAATGGGCTTTTAATTAGAATCAGCACAGGGTGAGGATGTTCACTTCTGCCTACCACTCTATTTCAATCTCGGCTCACTGTTGAGTGTTTTTCCCCTTCTCACATAGAGAAGCCCAAGTTAATGTCTTCCCGTCTGTGGTAAGAATACTAATATTTGAAGTCACGTTTAGCACATGAGCTTGCTTTTTTACTGTTTTTTGTCTTACAGTTGTCAGCATTTTTGGAGTGTGAAGGCAATTGGTCATGCCTATAGTCAGTTTTCTGCCTAGCAGATTCCCAAATTCCCAAAGCTTTGTGTTATTCCCTGGAATAGACAAATAACACTTTAGGAAAAAATTCCATTTCAGAGGGTGTTGAGGCACTGAACCAGGTTGCCCAGAGAAGCTGTGGATGCCCCATTTCAAGGCCAGGTTGGATGGGGCTTCAGGTAACCTAGTCTGGTGGGAGGTGTCCCTGCCC